AGATTTCTAAATTCTTATAAATTTGTGCAACACATTTGCGATCACATAATCAGAAAATTGACATAGGGAACACGAGTTTGTCACGAGTGTGCATGACGCGTGCAATTCGTTTCCACGTACGTTCTGATGAAAAATAAAAAAAAATCACGTACACAAAATACGCACAATTTTCGTCCAGATATGAAAATATACATTTTCATAAACGTCCGCGATTTATTCGCAAGTCAAATCATTCCGAGAGCTAAATGACACGTAGATGAATTCGTTGCACAATGTAACAACCGACGGTAGGCATGAGCGTGTTGCTCGAATCGCGTCGTGGCTGATTATGTTCGTCGCATTCACGTCAAAACGATCGAACGGATTATAGCGAGCAGAACAACGCGCCAATTGAACGTACTTATCGAGACAATTATACGGAATCTTGATAACAACTTGACCCTTGGACTGCCTTAACCTTACCGACGTTTCAGCCGGTGTAATCCTTGTTAACGAAGGATTAGGATAATCGAGACTTGTTAGGAAATTTAGTACGTCTTAGCAGCGGTGCAGTTTGCACGAAACGAACGTTACGCGATGTAAATCGAACAGCGATAAGCTCGCTATCTGGCTGACGTTTGCTCGATGTTTGCAATTGCGATCTTTTTTTTTTTTTTCAAAAGCATAAGTTGCATAATTTACATTTCACTTTGATTCGTTTTGAAGCTGCTGTAATTGGCAAACTGTGCGCAATTTTATATTTTTGACATAATTTAAATATAAATTTGTTATTTTATTTATTTAGTCTTTTATTATATTTATTTATTATTATTTTATTGTTTATAATTATTTATTTATTATTTTTTTATTACTTATTTATTTAGTATTTTATTATATTTGTTTATTATTATTTTATTATTTATAATTATTTATTTATTATTATTTTATTATTTATTTATTATTATTTTATTATTTATAATTATTTATTTATTATTATTTTATTATTTATAATTATTTATTTATTATTATTTTATTTATTTAGTATTTTATTATATTTATTTATTATTATTTTATTTATTTAGTATTTTATTATATTTATTTATTATTTTATTTATTTAGTATTTTATTATATTTATTTATTATTTTATTATTTATTATTATTTATAATTATTCATTTATTATTATTTTATTATATTTATTTATTATTTTGTTTTTTTATTTATTTAATTTTATTATTATTTCATTATTAAATTTATTTTATATTTTTTTATATAATTTAAAAAACGAAATAATGGAAAACTTTTTTTAGGTAGTTTGAATATTTTTTACTGCAATTTTAAACTTTGAAACTTTCCGCGTGAAACTTCGCAGTCTAATAACCGTATTCCACATAATATTAATTACCATATTAATTATTACTAATTGAGAGATTTCCTCATCGAGATATTTCGCATATAATCCGAAGAATGTTGCGCAATTTAGACTTCATGCTCTTTCTTCCAAGTAACCGAGAAATTCAGTTCTCAAGAACGGCGATTAAAATTCAGAATTATTCGTCCGCGTTGTTATTTCTATTCAACGACTGTACGATATTTTTCTTCTTTACCCGGGCGTTTACTTTATGAAGAAACATTGCGCGAAAGTATAAGCACGTTTAACACTCTGGTGTATAAAATCCAAATTGAAACACAGTATTATTTTCCTCCCGTGTGCCATTCGTTAACGGCTAACTTTTATTTCTTCGTTTCTTCACATTATCCCGCCAAGGTCCATACTTTTTCATAATACTCGCCGCCCTGCTACTTCACTTGGACTGCTCGACTTTTATTCGCTTAATTATCATCTCGTCATTGCCCGTACGGATCTCGCGAAAAAAAATTCATCGAAAGGAAGATAAAGAAAATATCCATTTCACACCACAAATCAATTTCATCGAGTCTCGCGGATCGTGTCTCGTGGATACAAAATATTTATCGACGCGGCGTAGAAATATAAACGATATTTACCTAGATCTGGACGAAAGCAGACATTGACCAAGGGAGCGTCACTTTCCACAGGTGGTTCGAGAAGGCAGATCGAGATTTGTCACGTTCGCGATCGCGGTATCTCAGGACGACGATTTTCGAAGCGATCGCGAAAGTATTTCGACGCGATGAAATATCCAACGATCCTCAAATTCGTGTTCGCGAAGCTACGGTTAACCAAATTCTATCGGGAAATCGAGCTCGTGTCACGTGACGTAGTTAGGTGTAAAACGTTACTTTTGAAATTATTTGTGCCTCGTTAAAAATGTACTTGGGAATTATTGAGTACGTTGTTACTTCATTATTCGTGCTACATTTATTTAATTTAACTCGCTGTAAAAGTCTTGCACGGTCTCTGAACTATTTCGTGATCTCGTAACGAGGGATGATTATTCGCAGTTTCAAATATTAATTGTATTAGCCGCGGCAACCAGATCGTGAATGTCGATGGAAATTAAAAGTTAGAAAAATGGAACCTGATCAGAGGTTATTATTATTTATGTATTTCTGTTTGCACGTTGCCGTGGATTTCTGAATTGGCAAATCTTCTTTTTTTTTTTTATAAATCCGAATTAACATTCGCCAGTTCTTCTTCTTCCCTCGAAAATCGACAAAATTTACGAAAATCCCTGAAAAATCACACGGTGATCTCGCAACGTTATCGAGGAGAACACGGTATTCCAGTGTTGAAAAATTTCACCGTTAAAAAAGACCGATACACCTCGATCGATACCGGAATTTCTCATTATCCCGTCGCTGTTAACATCCAGATATTTCATCTTTCACCCCTCCAGGCGATGCACAAGCCCTGGCCGGAAAATCGAAGCAAAAAAGACAGCGAGGAAACATCATGCCGACGCGATATGAAACATAATGGTTACGCAAAGTCATTTGCGTTTTTTGTTAATGTGCTCGCCCACCTCCCGTTGTTCCCGCTGGCCAACATTTTGTTTGCCGTGCTATCAAGACGAACGAATGTGCACACACGCGTGTTCGTTGTCAGTCGATAGCCTGATCGATCGTGGCACCGCGCAAAACTGGAGGAAGAAGAGAAACGACCGACGATGGAGCAACGTCCGTTTGCTCGTTACCGGAACTGACGAGTCAAACTACAACCTGATAATAACACGCTACTTTCATAATTGCCGATGTAATTAGAGGGATGGGGAGGGGAGTCGTGGCGGCACTTCCGCCGCGGAACGTACGATTGCGTTCGTCCTCGCTCTGGAACAGGCGCTTGCCTATTGTTCCCGGCTCTACGATTTCGTTTCTTTGCCAGATCTGACAAGTGCAATCTCTTTCGCCTCTGCGTCGTTCGCATAACTGTTCTACAGGCTGATTTTTTTTAAATATTACAACCGATTTGATCTCTTTGATAAATTTAAAAAATACACAAAGTGAAAATAATAATCTTGGAATTTTAGCAATCTAATCTGAAGCGAGTGTCTTGATTTCCTCCAGAATGATCTATAGTAATTGTTAGGTCCCCGAATCTTTTATTCTGCGTTAGTTGAAATTTTAAATTTATAAATATATTATTTATATATATATATATATTGGTTATTTTATTAATTTTAAATAATATATATATTTAGTTGTTTATTTTATTATATATGTATGTATTAAGTCTGTAGTGGTGGTTTAAAATGTTTTATTCTTTATTAGTTGAAATTTTAAATTTATAAATATATTATTTATATATTTATATAAATTTGATTATTTTTATTAATTTTAAATAATATATATATACATATTTAGTTGTTTATTTTATTATATGTGTATTAAGTCTGTAATGGTGGTTTAAACTTTTTTATTCTGTATTAGTTGAAATTTCAAATTTATAAATATATTATTTATATATATATAAATTTGGTTATTTTATTTTAAATAATATATATATGTATATATTTGTTGTTTATTTTATTATATATACATGTGTATTAAGTCTTAAATAATATATATATATATTTAGTTGTTTATTTTATTATATATATATATATATATATATATATATATATATATATATATATACATACATCTTATATCAGTGTTTTAACATTAATAAAAGATAATGAATCTATATTATAAGAATTATTTGGGAATTTTTTTATTGAAGATTTAGTATCGTTATTGATATTGATCATTCCTAATGTACCTAACCTTAATTCTTTGCTGATATTATTTTTACTTTGATTTATGAAAAAAAGATTATTGTGTAATTAATTTGATTAGTGGTATTACTTTTGTAATTAACCAGCAAGATAATCATTTTGTATTTTTTTGTTGTTTTGCATTCTTTATAAAATCAAAATTCATTAATATATCAGGTTGTGTATGTTAACCAACTATAACTAAAATTTTGTTTATATTATTAATTCTAAATGTTCTATCAGGCATCCTTAGAGAATCCTCCAAAGGAAGAATTAAAAGTATCTGAACTCTCGCCAATTATATTCAATGGATATATTAATTATGTCAGTGACTTTAACGAATGTGCTATGATTTGTGATGATCTTATGTAAGACTTGCACAATTGACTCAGATAGAAGATATAATTCTCAAACATATATATATTTTATGTATATTTTTTTTTGTAATTTGTTTAGAACAAAAGTAGAAAAGTATAATAGAGAAATACCAATAGGATTTGACTTGGAGTGGCCCTTTAGTTTTCAAAGCGGATCTGGTAAAACAGCTTTAGCACAGATTTGTCTCAGTGAAAAGGTCTGTTATCTATTACATATATATTCGTTTACAAAATTGCCTGCTGCATTTGTGATCCTCTTAAGCCATCCAAAAGTGAGATTAGTTGGAGTTAACATAAAAAAGTAAGTCAATTAATAAAACTTTGTTGGAATAAAATTTATACATTGTATGATTTATTTATTTATAGTGATATTTGGAAGCTAGGTAGAGATTTTAAGGACTTCCCAGCTTCTAAAGTTGTGGAAAATAATTGTGTTGATTGTGGTAAATTTGCGAATACAGTGTTAAACAGATCTTGCCGGTGGAGTTTAGAAAAATTAACAGAATATTTGGTTGGTATTTTTTTTTTTTTATGTTAAAACTGTAAATCAAAAGGTAATCAATGTTGTTTATCTTTTTTGTTCCTTGATCTTTTTTGTTTTAGCTAAAAAAGAAGATTAATAAGAACCCAAAAGTGAGAAAAAGTAAATGGCATATGCATCCATTGAATGATGAGCAAAAACTTTATGCTGCAACAGATGCTTATGTATGCTACGTATAACATTATATATTACATACAATTATATTTTTCATTTTAATATTGAATATATTTCTTTTTTACAGGTTTCCTGGCTCTTACATATAACTATACAAAAACAGGCAGATTCAAAAGAGATACAGAATAAAGAACATTGACATTGTCCCGCTATGTCTACAAAAATAGTTAAAGTTTTGTGGGCAGGTAGATTAAGTTACAGTTCTGGACTTAAGCTACAAATGATATTATCTAATCAACACCACCAAAAGCTGGCAAATGATAATTGCAATACATTGATATTGCTTGAGCATGATCCAGTATATACAGTTGGAATTAGAGATAAAGAATATACAGTAAAAGATGAAGAGAGATTAAAAAGTTTAGGTGCAGAATTTTTCAGAACTAATCGAGGTGGCCTTATAACTTTTCATGGACCTGGACAATTAGTGGCATATCCCATATTAAATTTAAAGCAATTTAAAACCAGCATTAAATGGTATGTCTGCCAAATAGAGAAAATGATTATTCGCTTATGTGCAGAATATGGCATTAAAGGTGAAACGTCCCCAAACACCGGTGTATGGGTAAATGACAAAAAAATTTGTGCCATTGGTGTTCATGGAAGTCGTTATATAACGACACATGGTTTGGCTCTAAATTGTAATACAGACTTAAGTTGGTTTAATCATATCGTACCTTGCGGTGTCGAAGGAAAAGGTGTAACAAGTATTAGTCAAGAGCTTAATGCAAATTTAACTATTCAAGATGTGCTACCACTGTTTCAGAATGCTTTTAAAGATCAGTTTCAATGTACATTAATTGAATACTCGGTAGAAGAATCTTATCAATTGTTCAAGCTTCTTAACGAGGATAAGTGTGTGCAAAAGACTTGAAAAAAATAGAATGTATTAATTTTAATAAATTTGTATATTTTTAATGTTTTATACATTTGTCTAATTTAATATTAATTTATATAATACACCTTCAATTGTGTCATGATCAGTTTTGATTCAAATTCAACGAGAAAATTAAATAATTCAGGAGACTGTTTAGCCGAGGATGTAATTCAGCAGGAAGAATTGCAAAAATTTGCAAATTAATCCCTTTATTTTCTTTTTTCTTTGGCAAATGGAAAATTTAATCGATTCATGGACTTCAAAATGCTGCGTTGCGGTGAAATGGTGGAACTAATCGCTATTGTTGTCCTTGTGTGTAGCGACCTATAGTTCCTCGAGTACGAGTTTCGAACACCAACTTGCACAAGCCGCAAGTGGCTGTGCGCCTAGCGTCGAAGTCAATCGATATTCGATGTTTAAGCAGAGTGCGGAACCGCCTAGGATGGGTGACCATATCCAGCCTTAGCCGAGTAGTTACAACAACAAGCGTCTGGGGTTAAGGAGTCGCTGCCATCAACCCCACTGATGATGAGTCTAGGCAGCGACTCTGAGACGAAACGCACAACCTTTCCTCACCTTACCCACATCATCATCACTTCCTATATTATCCTCGCATTATCATCGACACTTTCAATCCCTTCATGTCTGTGAATGGTGTCATCTCTCAATTTCGATTAGAACTAACAATATAAAAAAATGAAAGATTTGATAGGTGGCAGCACATGACTTTTTCGTAGACAAGGAGGGCAATATTGTGCAACAAGGACAGCAATAGCGATTAGTTCTAGCATTTCGCCGCAACGCGGCGCTAGCATTTTAGGGTTCATAAATCTCTCGAATAACTTTTTAATTCCTCGCTTATTACGTTCAAAATTCGAATCAAAATTGTTTGGAAACATAGTAAAAGTGCGTACGACAAATATAGACAATTATTGACACAAACTTATCACATCCAATTGACAAATAATATAAATGCAAAATGCTCAATGAAGGATGAAAGTTGAATAAAAAATAATCTTCCTCTACAATATCGTTCCATAGATTTAGGTAAATAAGTGAATATTAATTAAAATTTGCCTTTATTTCCTTAAAAGTTTAAAAAGAAACTTCAAAGAGGTCGGTGATATGTATCATAATATGATTTTACATTACAATAAAAATTTTATACAAAATCGTAAATGTTCAGGCCATTTTCATAATTTCTTATAGAATTATACGAACAAAGGACGATTTAGGAGTTTCTTATCAGCATGAAGAAATTTATTGTCTGACTTTGGGATATCTGTGATCCAGGGCAACGACCCGGTTTTTCCTGCTGACAAGAAGTCTTAACATCCATCGCGTTTCAACGCGGCCGTTGTACTCAAAAATACTCATTATTGTCAATCTTGGTCACTGATCTAAGAACCTGTTTTATTTGGTGAAAGAACGATCAGCTTCGATCGCTAGGATAATCAAACTAACCTGATACTTTAAAATGATTGGCTAGCCAATGTCCATAAAACAGGTTCATGAATAACGAGAGACAGGTAATAGAGAGAAAAATAACAGTCAGAGACAGAGACTGTATGTGAGTGTGTGCAAAGCCAAAGTGCATAAAGGGTATGTGAACAGTACAAGTACGAAAGAAATCCACGTGTCCTTCCATATCGGTAAGAAATAATCGCTTGACTTTCAATCAATCCTACGACTCGTCGTTTACGAGTTCAATCCACAAGATTCTACTCACACACAATTCAACTCTTGCGAACGTTCTTGTCTGGAACATAAAGTGCAACGCTACACTTCACCATCGACGTCACTAAGGCGCTTTAATATTTGATCCTTCCTCAATATTTTATTCCGTAAAATTAAAATAAGAACATACTAGGTTTTAAATAGAAAACTTTTATTCCTCTTTTAAATATCAATATAATGCTAAAGAAGAAGCATATAACATCGCCGAATTAAAGTATAATATATTCTCGATATCTTATATCGAGAATCCTATTAATCTTTCACATTATCGTTTTTCTACACTCGTCAATAGACTATCCGAAAGAGAAGAAATATATTGCGTGTCGGAGCTTTACATTTCAACTTCCCTACTAACTTAGGAAATTAAGCATTGGTTAAATTATCGATTAAACGCTATGGTAAAATTGAGACAGGAATAAGCAAATATTTCCTATGTGTGAACAAAATTATATACTATACGAAACATCTTCTTTTGCAACTATTATTACAAAATATTATTAAATGGAATGTAGGTGTATTACCTATTATACCAATATTTCATTTGATACAATATCGCTGTAGTAGTTAAATGTAAATTGTAGAATTATATACGAAACATCATGCATCTTTGTCAATCTTTACTTCTCTCTTTAATTGCCTATTAATCATGTAAAATATAGTACCGTTAAAATTCGGCCCGCTCTTTTGTTCTTCGATTCTTATTTTCCAATAGGAAATATATATATATAATACAGTTTGTTTAACGCTCGTGCAGCGACATAGAAATTGATTAAAACGTAGTAGGAAATGTATATTGCTCGAAGTTTAATTTAACGTTCAATAGAAATCTTCTTCGACAATGTTTTCTTGTCGATGGAACACAAATGGGCAGATAATCGTTTGCCATACAAAATGCCTAAACTACTTGCGTCTTCTAAACTCATGGAAATGGATAAAATAATAATAACTTTATAATAACAATTATTTAAAGATCCATCTCCTTAGTTTCTCATTTGTAACAAAATTTTAAATGCATTTCATGATAAACTATATGAAAATTACTTTATCTGGTACTGTTATTCGACTAACTTATTTCCAATCTAATTAAAATAAAATTCAATATAAAATATTGAGAAAATTCTATGAGAATTCGAAAAGAAAAAAAATCTTTATTAACTTGAAAGAAAAGGAAATTAAAGGAAATTTAAATAAAATATATGAAATAGCATAGCTGCGTTTCTCATAACATACGGTAATATATGTCGTCGCGTTCGCAAGATCGATGCATTAAAAAAACACCAAGATGATCTCATGGTAAAAAAACGTTGTAAAGTAAAAGATATCCTCGCACGCTATCACGATCAAGAATTTTTCTAATGCTATAGAAATGATTTGCTTTGAGCAATACTTCTCGGAGAAGTAAAATAGCTTTGTTTCCTTTGGAGAACGAACACTAAATGAAGAAATATTGTTAAAATATAATGATTCGCGTGCGTGTGTACGTAACACATCGCTATTATATTTACATACACGCGCAACAAACATACACACACGCATACGCACGGAGATCCTAAACGTGGTCACTTTAACGCGGCATCAAGAATGTCTTCGCCGTGGTTACTACGTCAGTCATACATAGAAATTGTTTGTTCTAGGTGCTAGTTAGGAAATTATCTGTTTCATCATTTCCAGACATAGACATATGTAGTCAGTAACTATACATTTGCCTGTAACTCTTCAAGTTTCTTTAATAAAAACTAATGGAGACTTGTCAGAGAAACGGGGCAAATGGATCTCTCTTGGCGACCAATCAATAAATCAGTCCATGACTGTATTGTCTTTTAATCCTTCGAACTTCTAATAATAAAATAGAAAAATCTAAGTCTAAGCGACTGAATGCGTGTCACTCATTTTCTTAGTGAGTTCTTGAAGGAAGTTTCTGTATATTAACGAGTCCATGTTAGAAGAAAGGATGTAGAGAAGCCACCAATCACCCAGATCAATCTTCTTGCTGATACTGGAGCAAGTTTCAATGGAAGGAAGTCTTGAGGACATTTGAAGCAATCTCGGTCTGATTGCTGGAGCAAAGATTATGGCAGCTCTGTAGACCATCAGGCCCAATAGCAGGATCAACAGAATTGTAAACCAAAACCAAATGAAAATGTATGTCTTCTCGTTGACAATGTTCAACGGAAGGATACACAGAGAATCGTGCTTCTGTATTGTTCCTGATGCACCGTACTTGTGGAATATGCATTTTGTCACGCGTGGAAAAATATAAACCATAGGATCGACACGCTCTTCCTGAGGGACGTCAGGTAGCGAGAGTACTCGTAGACCGTAGCTGAGGAATTCGCCGTCAAAGAATTGATTCATCAAGCACAATTGAAGAAAGATGTTAATGAAACAGAGAGCCTCGCAGCCAAAATACCGATACACGTACGTGTTGTGTGTCTGAAAGAAGAAGCAATCGGTGAATTGGCATAAATTGGACTCAATGAAGGCAAATTGGATCTAACCAAATTGTCTCAGCCTTTCTCTCCCCTTTACTTTTATGCTCTTTCTCTGAAGATATGATGATTTCAAATAAAAAATTTAAGGAGGAATGTAAATTTTTTAAATTGTCGTAGACAGAATTTGACAAAACTTTCATCTCTTATTACCTTCCTATACTGCATTAGGTAAATCATTAGCATTGACTTTTTCTTGTCAATGTTTTCTTCGCGATCGAGACCATGATTCATACCCATAACTAGTGCATTGATCAGACCACCCTCGCACATATTCCACAACCATTGTGGAATGTAACACAGTAGTGCCTAAAAAAATATTCCATTGATTAATAACATATTATACTTATATTGATACAATACATATATATATACAAGATATGTTTAATATAATTTGTGATAATTAATAAATTTAATATTTATTATTAATATTCTCAATAAAAGAAATATTTTGATCCTTTCGTTTGAGACATTAAGAAATATTTAAATAAAATTGCATCAGCATATTTTTATATAATTCACATGTAATTAATAACGCAAATTTACACTCGCATTGATATACATATACGCCGATGTAATCTGCCCCCAGCGATATGTAAAAGATTTAGTATTAGAGCTTTTTATTAGCAAAAGAAATTGTGGCTATGAAGAATATTTACATATACAGCAGAACACTACTTATCAGAACCTGTCAGAGGGCAAACAGTTCAAATATCTTTCCATGCAACGTGTCTTCTCCTATCTACGAAGAACTTAAATTTAGATAAACGCAGTCATTCGACGATTAATCGCATGGTAATTAAAATTTTATTCCAAGAAATGGAGTCATTAAAGAATTGAAATTGCATAACAATATTAAAATGATTTGTTCATATTCAAGTTAATAATAAAAATATGGATGTCTGTAGTTCATTAAAACAGTTCTTGCCAAAAAAAAAATAATGAGAAAGAAATTTTACAAGTATGAGAGTTATCACTTAAGCAAAACAGTGATGAAATTTTTAACCGATCAATTTTTGCAGTGGCGCAATCGTGCTTACGAATCAGTTTTCGGATATCCTATACGAGAAAGGTGAGAACAACGACAGTAAAGGAAAACCTAAACCAAGAAGGTGCGCGCAGCTGTCGTGTGCTTTATCTGTCGCGTGTGCAAGATTAATAAACGAGTCTTTACCTGGAAGAACAACACGAAGCAGACCCACTGGTAATAAGTGTAATATTTCCTCGCATCCACGTCGCCGAAATCGTTCGCCACTCCTGGATGCGCTACTTCTAGTCCAACCTGATGAAAGAAACAAATAATTTGTCAACGACGAGGGATTGCAGGTGCAATTGATCAAATTTATTTTTTTTTACGTCATGCTATGAATTTGATCACGTTGCATCAGAAACATTGGTCGAAAGGATAGTTAATGTTACAATAACTAAAAAATTATATATTGACTGAACTAGTTACTCTTAATTAAGTATCATAAGTTTCTGGATAATTATTTGAAGAATACGGTTATCTTTGACAAATCTATTACGTATATAAGGTGAGGACCGAGTGTAAATTTAAAAGTATGTAAAATTATGATTAACCACTTCATTTCTGTATATAAGAATCTTTATTTATATCCAGTTATCTTATCTATATCCAGTCTAATTAGATAATCGCGCAATTAAAAATTCAAACGGACCTAATAAGTGTAAAATTATATATATGGAACATTACATTTAAAGATTAGTAACTTGATAATTACTAGCAGTCTGAAATGATTTCATTTGGTATTTTCAATTTATTATTAATTTTTTTTATTATACATGTAAGTAACTTTCTAAATAATATAATTAAATAACAATATAACCACCAAGGAACTAAAGACTTTACTTAAAAGAAATTTTTAAAAGAAGAATTACAATTACAGTTCGCGTCTGCAATCATTATAAGGTGTATCTACTTCTAAATGCGACGATATTTCTCAATATTTTAATTAATGTCGCCTACTTTGATTTAAAAAATCAACAGATAACATAAATAACACACATCTATTACACGAGAGAAAGCATAATGGCTTCTATAGTCGTGAGACAATAAATCTTTCTTTTTATCTATCTACATTACGCGGCTGAATATTCAGCTGCAAAAACAATTTCAAACAATTAATAAAAACATTTTCGGCAATTAATGCGTTAACTTCAGAGCTTTCTCATAATGAGAAATATATATTGCATCATTGCTACGTAACAGACAGAAGCTGAAAATGTCTTCACAGTAAAAATCAGTCGGTGCAACAATTTTATTCTATAGCTATTAGCAATTGGTGTGATGACCGTCAGGACCCGAAGGTCGAAAACAAGTGGTTTAAACGATAGCCGTGATTAAAATACGAGTCCGAGTTGGAAAATTAGGGACGCAGTCGTTTAAACTGGATTACCCACCTGCCGATTAAATGCGTCCGGCATAGTAAACGTAGAAGTTATCCAGCAATAAGTGTTGATAGGGTGCGTGGGTAAACCCTGAACGATACAGGAGATCGGATTGCCGACGTATTGGGTGGCCGTGATCAGTATTGAACACGTGAAAAGCAGCACCGTTGTGAAGCGATTGTGTAACCGAAACACCATCGAATCCGTCGTTATTTCCTGCCATTTCAAATATTGTCCGAGGCTTCCGAGTAACTTGTACATGATTCTCTCGCTCTGTCAAACTTCCTTGATTGTTTACAAATTCGTGCGTCCTTGTTTACAAATCCGCGCGGTTAGTCCCACGTGGCAGAAACGTACACGAGTAAGGGAGAAAACAAACAAATTACCGACGAAAAAAGAAGAAGAACGCAAAATTGTATCGACTGAAATTTCCGCGAATCCTCATCTACCACGGTCAGGCTTGAAAAAGCGGTAAAATGAAACGAAACAGACACACGGATCGTCGTACGGCCTGTGTCCACGCGGCGTGCCTCTCTCTTTCCCTTTTCTCCTGATTCTCCTTCTCCTTTAGCGTCCTTCTCCCTTTTCTTCTTCCCTACCTCTATCCGTCGCTGCTTCTTGTTTCTTCCTCGAGGTGAAGAGAGCGCGCGCGCGCTCGCGCGCACAGCGATCGGTCACCGAACCACGTTAAACGAGATCGCGAAACGTTCACGATCTAGGGCTTGTATGCACAGAGGTTACCTTCCGTACGAATTCAATTTTGAAACGCGTCCAAGGCACAAGCGTGTCCTATCGACATCTTTCATTACCGGTAGATCGTGGGTCGAACGCGCGAAACACGTTTTTTCACGTATTATGTACTACTCTCAGTTAGTAAGGTAAACTGCGCGTGTGTGTCTGTTGGTAACTAATTCTGTTCCTTGAATCGATCGTACATCGATTTCTCCACGTGGTTTCTCCTTTCGTTAGACGCGGTTTCTGCCGATACGTGTGACCGTTTTAATTTCTCGAGTCTGCACAGAGTCGCGCTACGACGATCCAAACGTTACTAATTCGTCGCTTCGTGCCAGAGTCTGCGACACTCACTGTCAATCCTCCTATCTTTTTTTCCTTCGGATCGCGTCGGCTGAGGTGATTTCTCTCTCGGAGAGAGAAACACAGCCTGACGTAAAATTGTGCAACACCTTGAACTCCCCCGGCGTGCCACGAACCCCCTCTTTCTCCTCCTCTTTGTCTTTCTCTCCTCTATCCGCACGGCACTTTTTCCCTCGATATATCGTGCAGAGATAGATCCGTACGATGAACGGGTTGTTGCGAGCAGCAGCCAACACCGAATTGTGTCGGCATATACACGTATGTACGTAGCAGTCTTCAACGTCGACTGACGAGAAGTCAGTGGCTTGTTGTTCGGCCGAGGGGCGAGAGGGAAACTCTTTCGATCTGCTAGGGGGACTGCCGGAGTAGAAACGAGTAGGAGAGGGCCCAGGAGGTGGGGATCGAAACGGTGGGGGACCGACGGCTGCTTCAAACTCCCCCCTTTTGTGCCATGATACACTGTGTATACCCTGTTTCCATAGTGCATGCTCCTGCGTCCATAGCTACGTGACACACAGACTATTCTACGTACTGTTTTTTTTTTTAAACAATTTCTTTCTACGTATTCTTAAATCGAAGGATATAAATCACACACATTGACGATTCATTTTGTTTCTCTTAGGCATATGCGAAAACAGAATTTTGAATATACGAGAAGGCACGCTTATTATGGTATAACAGGAGGAGTACAATTTTAATCTTTATTATTGTATTAACTAGATGATATTTCTAATTAAATTAATTTTAGTAGTTTCAAGTAATTTTTACTATATTTTCAGATTGAGAATCACAGAAATGTAGTGATTTGATTTTCATACATGTAGCAGGTGAAAAAAAATTTCTTAAATTTGAGAAAAATAAATGAAGTTTCTACGTTCCGTGTAAAGCCAAGTAAGTTTCAAGTTTTCTCCTTCCAATATGCAAATTAAGAAGTAAAGTTGAAACGATGATTTAAAATTTAAAGCGTCTTGGGATTGCCATTACCCACTATGTACCGTTACTCGCTTGCTCGTATCTTCTTTTCTCTTCTGGTTCTGGTCTCTATTGTTCGCCTCGAATATCGTAATGAAAGTAAATCGGTTAAATTCGATCGTTAAATTCAATTGAACACCGAGGTTGACAAGAGAATCATACGTAGTATTTGCACGAGCAGTGTTTGTGCTCTGAATGGTAATAATACCGTTCTTAGAAAATGACTATAATATATCAAAAATTAATGAACACTTTAGAGGAGAAAATCAAAGGAAGGTTTTGCTTATCAATCTGTTATATTTCTTATTACATGCAAACATATATGTAATTCTAATTTAAGACATAAGTGGGCCAAGGTAAACGACATTTAATACATGACATTTCATATTTGTAAACACAACAAAAAATTGAGACTTTACTACTCCAAAGTATTGGACAAACATTTCCATTTATTTTGTGTATAGTATTGCACACTGCGATATTAGAAAGTAACATGTACTAAATATTGAATTTTTGTGATACATATTTGTTAGTACTATTAGAAGATACTTGCAAATTGTAACTGTTAATTAAAGGTTTATTCACTTTTCAAGCAAGACAACGGAATCAGTTGTTTGATCATTATAACGCTTCAAATAAATAATAAGAAATGATAAGTGGTGAAACTTGATTGTTAGATTTAATAGAGACTAAGAATTAAATTGTTAATGTAATTAACAATTATTACTTGCAGAAAAGAGAATTAAATTAGAATAATTAGTCTAAATATTAATAATGATAAAATAAAAAATAAAATTGTAAAGTAGAAGAAGATAATTTATTTAACTCTCTATGATCCAAATGTCATATTTATGAAAGAGACAGATTATGCAACTCCACATATCATGGTATAAATTGTAGAAGAATAGAAGATTAATTTCTTTTTTAATGTACTCTGTAGATTACATTGCATGTTCCATTTCTTTAAACTCAATTGTCAAGATAAATTCGCGTGTGAAACTACACCGGGTATGAGCAACACCATACGAATTATGCAATCAATATCAGCAATTTTGTACTGTCCGCTAGGTTCTCTCTCTCTTGTTTCACTTCTTTATTCTGCCGTTTACGAAGGGTGTCTACTGCAAATGTGTACGTGGCCAGATGCACGGCCCCTGAAAGGACTGTATTTTACCCTACGAAACGGAAATACCAGCAACTCTTGTGTGTGCTCCGTTGTCATTTGTTCAGGATGCTGAAAGCTGAAATATTAGATGGCTGCAGGACGAGCGACCGGTTTTACGAACGTTTAAGCATGAAAATTTCACTTAAAGCCTCATACATCCTCTTGATCTCTTCAACTATTTATATGTATTTCTAATTTTACATCATTATATATAATTCATTACATTTATAATGATATAATGATTATATATAATGACATAAGTCTGTTAATTTAAAAATTTAATTTAATAATTGTATTCCCAGTAAAAACATGTCCTTATAAAATATTCGACGTGACTAGTCTTCTGTTCTACACTTTTCTAATTTCCAGTCTGCACATACGTTTTCACTTGTACAAAGACGACAGTGACACATGTTATGCACATGTTTATGGAATCTTGAAGTCTCCCGGAGAACAAGCCTCAGGAGTTCCGGTTATCATAAACCATGGTCATGTTAAATTAAAATTTCTACGAAACTTTCCATGGAAATATTACTTACAGTTAGATCCTTATCAGAATACACATGTGTTTTGTTCTGTGAATTTAGAAGATAGAAAAAGAAAGATATGGTATATATATATATATATTGATATTTGGCAGAAGCAAAACGAGTACACATTAACGGTGTTCCATTCAACAAATACACCAACAGCAGATGGTAACGAGATATATTGCATAAATATTTTCATATTCGTCGTATCGGTTGAGCTTATTAAGATACACGTTGTCTTACACATGTTTGTTTCGTAACGAGTTTGTAACGAAATTTGTTAGAGCGGGAGTTCAGGATTTTTATCTTCGGACTACTCGTAAATGTAATAGAATTCTTAACTCGTGAATAATTTGTAACTGTAACAACCTGTCGTCCAGACACTATTGATCCGTACATATTTAACTTAAAAGTTTTTAACTTTTGCTACGCTATGTATGTTCATTTACATTCTTACATCGAGTTTTTAACTATCAGAAACACAATTTATTATCAGCAGTGTATTACCATGTATGTACATATCAAACGTACTGTTTGCTCACGTACAATCACGGAACAAGTTTATTTTTAACAAAAAGTAGATAGAGAATTTTCCTGAGTATTTAATTTAAAGACGAGAATTGTTTGATTTATTTGATCGTACGATTCCTCGTTATATTATTGTTGTCTTTGAAGCTTAATAAATTTTAGTGACGTAAAAAATTAGAGACTCCTCAAATCTTTAGTTTAAAGTTTATTTCAATGACGCTTAACTTTGTTTGTAGGATCAGATGTTGGATACAGAAATGGCTTTGAAATGGATTCTGTCCTTTTTACATACCATGCAAAAGCTAGGTCCAGATGTCTGCGCTCTCAACGGTTAAAATTTTCTCTGAAACCTTTAGAATGGTCCAGCAACAAGGTCGTACTCGAAGGTCCCTTTCTCTTTGGGTTTATCTATTTCTTTTGTTAATCTACAGGAATTTTTTTGCTAGCCTCCCAGTTACCAAAGTAAGTCCAGCTGTGCTGATCCTAGTTCTCGGCCAGGTATGCGCAACGATGTCCCTCGACTGTATCATGCTGCACAGTTCTACGAATTGTTTAGAAAACGATAAAGAAAAGAAATTGACAATTAGATATGGAAGAATATCCACAAGCTATACTTGGCTTGATTTCTAAGAAGGTAATGAATGACCCAGCTCTGCAGTAGAAATGTTGAGTTGCATGCAAGTTTAGAGCTAATAAACGATAGGAAGAAATGATACAACTGTGATATACAATGATAATTTATTTCTAAACTAAATCCTTGTGAGTCATCGGAATTTTCGATTATTAATTTCTCCAAAGTTGCGAATGAAACGTACGATACTCTTGCAACGTGCGGTCACATCTACATTCTTCGAATTCTAGTCATTAGCGATATGCTAACACAAACACTTGCTCTACGAAACTATTTCAAACGGAACGATTCTGTTTTACTATTTTTTTCTCGGAAAAGAAACCTTGCGTAGGCTTGTTAAAATAAAAATTTTTGGCTACATATTACATATAAAAATTATATATATATAAGTAATCTTATATACATATTTACACATATATATATGTGTGTGTGTGTGTGTAAATATGTATATAAGATTACATAAGTATAAAATTATTTATATATATATCTTAGAGATTAGTATATAATAGATTAATATAAGATTACTTATATATATAATATATATCTTATGTATATAAAATTACTTATATATATATATATATATATATAATATATATATACATATAAGTAATTTTATATACATATTTACACACACACACACGCGCGCGCGCGCGCGCGCGCGTAATCGATACCTCGCGTGTCATTGTAAAAATTTTACGTAGAAGTTTATGCCTTAATGATCGTGGTCGTCGTGTCATGGTCTCGTTTTCATTGCAACCGGTCGGTGGTCCAAATGTGCAACGTGTTGTAACTCAACCTTTTGTGCAAACGCGCCGCAACACGATATTGCAGGAGCAAGCGTTTCAACATTTCGACACTAGAGATAACGCAGCTCGATCCTCGGTGAGTTAACCGTGTTCGTGCAACAAAAAGAGGAAAAAAAAATGAGAAAGAGAAAAGAGAAAACAGGAGAAAGAAATGAAACGCGATGGAAGATGAAGTTGAACGAATACCTGGATTAAGTTCATAATCACTACGAGTCGATTGAAATTCATTCGAGAGGACTTATGTGCTTAATTGGAGATTCGTTGTTATCTTATCTCGCGCGAGCAAAAAATGACCTCTTCGCGAACTGTCCATTGAATGATATCACCCCATAATATTATAACGTGGGTACGTCAAACTCGGTCAAGGAAATCAGAGACAATATTTAGGAATGCGTGGTACCCTTCGATGTCGATTGGAAAATAGTCCATAATATAATAAATATTTTCCAATATAATAAATATAATAAATATAAGTATTTACTATTTATAATAGTAAATATTTTCCAATTTACCAACAAATTATATTTTTGTCATGAAACGCGTGTCAACGATGAATTATTGTAAAAGCCTCTTTGAACTTTTAATTTACATTTCACATGTGAATTAGTAATTGAACTGACAACAGATATATAAAAGTACTTAAGAAAAGAATGATGTAACTATAGAATTAAATAAGTAGCATTCGTATGAAGGAATGAATTTACCTTCCTATTATATATATATATATAAAATCATCGACTCCATGGCGTTTTCACAGTAACCGAATAGTATGTCAGAGTTTAGTGTTCGTTCCCTGCGTACTGCCGCGCCGCGTGCTTTATACGCGTCCTTAGTCGCAATTATCTTAATTAGAGTTCGTTTATGGACGACGACAATCACTCGTTTTGTCGGTGAAAAATTGCTCTTTCCTCTTTGCTTTCCAACTGAATCGCTTTATGAGCATCATCCACGATAAATCTTGGCGAGTTTCCTCGTCACCTGTGGTCTGCTCAACAAACCATGACCGTCTAGCATTTGATGTTGCATTCTGTCTTGCACGAGGGCTACCTTTCTGAACATAACCGGTTACATTAATCTTTTCATCAAAATGAAAAAGTTGGAGTTTTTCGAGTACCATTAGAAAGTAGCGTTGATAAAAGATTGTTGGTGCCAACCAAATCTTAGATTAAATTAAAACGAAATCTATATATTATATGTAAAGTAATTTACTGAAAAAAAAGAAAGATTTGATTATAAAGCTAGTACTTGCCTAATAAATTTAGTTTTATCAGTAGACATTTCAGTAGTTGAAAATCTCTGATATTATCTTCTACAATATAAACTAAATACATCTGGCCTATTTGAAACCGTGAAACCTTCAGTGTTGCACAATTCTTGATACTCCATTACTCACTGTCCATAAGCGATCATTTAGCCAGGATGTGTTACGACTTAAACGGCGTTTCCTTCAGCATCTTTCAGAAAACGAATTATCGCTGTTCTCTCGTAAAATGTTACATAAATTTGTACGATCAGGCGAATGATAAATCAGTTCAAGTACTTACGCGTGGAACTATGAATTTTTACGCGATATTCTCGCATGACGAAGTAACTTCAATTATGTAATTCCCGAATCTACATTTATCAAACTTTTTCCGAGATTGCATGTTTAAGTTGTTAGTTGCAGTGTTATAACGAATAACATGCTAATCTATGGAGCCTCCTTTCTTTCTGTTTGTTTGTTCGATGCAATAAAACCATTCATAATAGCAACCTCCTAATTGTTTCGATCAGAGTACAACTATCTTTTAAATCACTCTGTATTATACTCTTGTACACTGCAGAGCAGTCTTCTTAATGAAAAATTCTCACTCCAACAATCTGTAGCTATAAATTATCGAAATATTGAAATATTAAATTTACTCAAAGTTTCTATATGCACGATACTGAAGAATATTTCAAGAATTTGAAATTTTTTTAGTGAGTATTATATACGTGTTCCAAACCGTGGGAGATAAACAAGAATTTAAGTTGAATCTCTGTCTCTCTAACAGACCATCGTGAT